TGACGTTTTTGGGCGTCTTAACAAGTTTTTTATGACATTTTTAATACAAAGTGTCGTATTAGCAACTTTATAAGACACTTTTGAGAAAGTGTCCCATAAACTCATCTTTTTATAGGACACTTGTTTTTACAGGACAATTTTTCAAATAGTTTCCTATAAATTTGATAATTGGACACTTTATATTAAAAGTGTCTTAAAAAACTTATTACGACGTCAAAAAGCATCATATAAACTTATTACAACATCTTTAGACATGACACTTTATTTATTTATTTGTCCTATAAAGAGGTCTATTAGGACACTTAGAATTTGAGAGTGTCCTATAAACCCGATTTTGTTGTAGTGTTCACTTGTATAAATCTAAATATGGTGAATATGTTTTGTCTATTAATTATATGAAAATCTTGATAATAATGAGGAGAGTATATCAAGTGCATGAATTGATGATTTAGGGTAATATAAACTAATCGTAAACACACAATGATATTAGAATCTGTATATGAGGAAACATGTGATGATAACAAAACTACATGAGTATAATAATGGGACTCCATATTAAAACCCATCATACATTGTTCAGATTTGGGTGATAAACTGTCCCACACTTGGCCAGCAATAATCAGCATCCCAGGATGGAGAAAGTGAATTAAAGGGGGTAAATATGTATGATGATCATGGCTGTAATGATGCTCGTAATCATGATTAGACATAATGAAAGAAGAAAGCATGGCAATGTCTACTCATTTTGTCTCTCAAAACCAACAATCCTTCCATTTGCTAGCTAGGGTTTGCATGAGATGTCTTTTCGATCTGTAATTAAGCGATCTTCTAGTAATCACAAAACAACGATGTTTAGCCCTTTTTCTTGATTAACGTAATTTGTTTTGATTCCTTTGAAACCGAATATTCGAAAGCATTCAACTTTACTGTGCTATGAACGTATGATGATTCGTCTTAAGGACTTAATTCCCATGTGTCACCCAATGGACGTTTTGATGAAAAGCATTGATCTTGGATTAACGTCTATAGTCTTGTTGATGTTTGTCTCTTTTATTTTTCGTAAGTATTTGGGAAAATGAAGCGTTCTCCGGCCGCAAACAGGCCTTGCTTTAACACATGAGTTTGCGTTGATAACCCTAAATTAAATATTTATGTTGTTTGTTTAAAAAAAATACTATTTGTAATTACGTTCGTAAAAAGTGGTAAAAATTTCTAAGATATTCATCTAAAAATTCCGTGTTTTACTGTTTAAAGTTCGGTTTTATGTTATGCAAGAAAGTATGACGTCATCCCTTCACTACAACAAAATTGAGTTTATAGGACACCCCCACTCTCTAAGTGTCCCAATAGACCTCTTTATAAGACTTAATTTATATGACCAAAATATAAAGTGTCATATCTAAAGGTGTTGTAATAAGTTTATATGGCGCTTTTGGGCGACTTAACAAGTTTTTTAGGACATATTTAATATAAAGTGTCGTATTAGCAACTTTATAAGACACTTTTGAGTATAAACTTATTTTTTTTATAGAACACTTGTTTTTATAGGACAATTTTTCAAATAGTGTTCTATAAAGTTGAGAACAAGACAATTTATATTAAAACGTGTCCTAACAACTTATTACGACGTCAAAAAACGTCATATAAACTTATTACAACATCTTTAGATATGACACTTTATTTTTTTGGTCTTATAAACTAAGTCCTATAAAGATGTCTATTAGGACACTTAGAATTTGAGAGTGTCCTATAAACCCGATTTTGTTGTTGTACTTGAAGCAATCCTATAATATCAGTGTTAGTATCAGTGTCACGGAAATCATGTACCTGTCACTTGCATGTTTGGAGTCAAACCTCAATTTTTCAACATATTCTTGGGGAATAATCACATTCTTTTCCTTTTTTTCCTTCTTAATCATACCTGAATCCCAATCAAGACCTAATATTTTGGGGATGACCTCTCAAATATTTCCAATCTCCCCCCTCTTTCTCTTTCTGCTGCTGCTTTTTTGTACACATTTCTTTTTTCTTTTTTCACTTTGAGTGAACTTAACAGGCAGAGAAGCCAAGTTTTCTAGTACATATTCTTGCTTTCTTCCACATGTTTCTGTTTTCTTCCACATTCCTCTGCATATATCTTTTAATGCCCTCTGGTTTATTTTTAGGAAAATCGACTAAAATAGTCATTCTACCTATTCAAGTTGATCTTCAAACCATTTCTCTTCCGGGTTTACTCAAATGTCGCATGCCGTTGCAATTGCATACGTGGATTGAATCTGATAAGGAGACCGATTTGAATAGACAAATTAACTATTGGAGTCAATTTCTCTTGTTCTATTTTTTCCAAGTCTTTTGTGCATGTTGTCACCTTCCTTTGCATTTCTAGCCACCTTGCTTTAAAAACTGGATGGCTAAATGCTTGCCTTCTTTTAGTTGTATTATTGCCACCAAGAAACAGTGATTACTGAAAAGATACAACCGTCTGTGTGCGATGTAATCCCTCCTTTTAAGAAACGAAATCGCAAATCTGGTTTCAGAAATTACATAAAGAATCATCACAACTGTTTTGACGATTCCAAGATTCGAGTTTGATGATGAAGCCATCGCGTTTGGATGGGTCTGTTTTCTGGTTGTGATGTCAAAGAATCTGAAGGAGATAACTTCTAATGTAATGGTGTTCTTAGGAGACAACTTTATTTGACAAATGACAGCAACCGAATAAAATGACCACAATATACATTATGTGGCAACTTTTTGCATTATAAAACTGTCATTTGTGACGGACAACTTTGTTTATCTGTCGCAGAAGCTATCTCGTCGAAAACTTAGTCATTGATACAAAAACCAACAACTTTGTGACGGACATTATCAAAGGATTTCCAATGACACATATCACCGATGATTTCCCAATGGGCCTAAGATCACCTATGAATCTTTGACAACAACTTTAACAACAGATATGTGTTTAAAGAATCATTGATGATTTTGCGATTAACACTTTTAGTAACGACTTTACGACTCAGTATCACCGATGAAAATTTGACAACATGTGTTACAGAAAGAATTCCGACGATCTGAATACAATCTAAAACTTGAAACCCTAAATTTCACTCTTGATCATATACATTATAGAGAGATTTTAATTTATGGCTATGCTTTTTTATAAAAGATACAGAAAATATAGAATTTTAATTTTAATTTTTTTAAAATTATTATTAAATCGACGACGGATCAGGGATTCCCATCGCTAAAAGTTGGTGGATCCCTTACAAATCCGTTCTAAAAGTCCCTCGCAAACCCATCGCTAAAACAAATACGTTGCTTAAACAAATCCATCGCTAAAAGTTGTCCTTGTTAATTCATCGCTATAATACATGTCTTTCAATAATCTGTTGCTGATATATATCATCGCTAATCTGTCACTAAAAGTTTCCCTCGAAATCCATCGTTGATAGGTGTCCATCGCTAATCTATTGCTGATAGATGCTCGTCTCTGATCCATGGCTGATGTTCATAGCTGATCAGTCGTTGATAGCATCACCCACGACCTTTTGACCCATGGACTGCAGCGAAGGATCATCCATGCACGGATCCGAGCATTAGCAACGGGTTAACGACGGCGTTGTCCATTGTTGGTAGTGTTTAGTTTTGTAGTGATCGTATTACCAATGTTAGCTAGTTATATACTTACGTGTTGCTCGAACTAATAAGAAAACTTCTTCTCTCTAGGTTTTTCTAATACTCCTTCAGTACATCGCTTCTACTTGTTGTATCTAATAAGTTTATAGGACGTTTTTGGGCCTCATAACAAGTTTTCAGGACATTTTTATAAAAGAAATGTCGTGTTGACTATTTTATAGAATACTATGTGAAAATATGTCTTATAAAAAAACAAGTGTCATATAAAAAGATGGGCTTATAGCACACTTCTAAAAAAATTCTTATAAAACAGTTAATGCAACACTTTTTATTAAAAATATATTGAAAAAAATTGTTAACACGTCCAAAAACGTCCTATAAACTTATAGATAAAGACTTTAAATATAATGCTTTATTTTTTTATCATATGTAAATCTTATAAAACAATATATTAAGACGTTTAGAAATTGTTGGCGTCCTATAAACCTAATTTTGTTGTACTGTAGATGACATAACACTTCGAGCGCAAAAACATTTCTTCACGTCGGAACGTGTATTTTCTACATAACCACCTTCGATGACAGTCCAACCAACATGCTTACCCTCCACCTTGTACTCTAAAAGTCCAATGTCTAGTAACGATTGTCGGATCTTCTTTAAATCAATTTGTGCTCTTATATTCCACGTAAATTAACTTTCTCAGCGAATTTCCAACTACGTACGATACAGTTAGATTGGTACCTAACCTGCATACCTTGCTACATACGAGATATTTGGTCGAGTACAAACCTAGACCAGCAATGTGGGTTCGATCTTTACCCTAACAAATCTAGATCGATCTAGATTTATGAACGACTGAAAGATCAAACTCCAGTGCGCTCCTGGAAACTAGAACCGGGCGTACGACTTCTCAACCTTCTGTGAACTTTTCTTCTCTTATGATTTTTGCCCGAATCACGTTAACCAGACTTGGGACAAACGTCTTTTCTTAGAACCGGTCCACATGCAACTCTATTAGCATGGTCTCAACCCTTTACATTATATCTACCAACAATTTTAATATTATTATTGTAAATTAATCTTTTGATTATAGGGACCCTTGCCCTTTTAATTAATTTGTAAAGAGCCGACAAAGAAAGAAAAAAAGCTTGAACTTTTAAGGTATTATGGTTTAAAGAAAAGAAAATGTCACCAGAACCAAATCATTAAATAAATTTGCTCATAACTTGTGAAGAAAGATCATCACTTATCTTGAAACTCTTCTTTCAATAAATACTAAATACACACACCATACCCTCCTCCCCTTTATAAAAAGTCTCCTACATATCATTAGGAGATTTCATAGAGAGAAAAGAGAAAGAATGGAGCTTGGTCTAAGCTTAGGAGATACGCCAAAGCCCGTTTCGTTTGCAGATCGAAGCATCTCACAGCTGCAGAAGACCAAGGATTCAGGGTTTTACATGGGATTGAACAGCAGCAGCACGATTCAAGATCCTCACCACAAGAACTTTAGAGAGAACGACGACGATGACAAAACAAATTGTTCTTCTTCGTCGTCGGATCGACCACTAGTACAGCTTGATCTCCTCCCTTTCTCGCCGGCTCTCGATCAATCTCCACCACCGCCACCTTCTCATCGTCCCTTTCCATGGCTCTCACAAATCTGTAAATCCCACTTTCTCTACTTTTATATGCTCCTCCTATATATCCAGTTTTGAATTTCTACCCTTAGTTTATTGTTCTAAAAGAACGTAAACACAACACAGGATCATAAAAACATATGTGTATTCATTGTTTGTTTGTACTACCTTAAGACATAATTCATTAACTTCATGTTAACAGTAATAGCAGACACAGGCCACCGAACCAAACTGGGAAAAGGACTGGATGTTAAGCCACTAACAGCAATATATGATCCAGACATTTGTAAAGAACCGGCCACTGTACAGTCTTCTCCCGACAATAGTAACAGTGATACGTCATCATTTCAGATGGATTTTTCTTCCATTTTCAAGAGCAGCACCGGAAGCAGTAGACTGCCGTCAAAGCAAAGGGACTTGGAATTAACTAAGGGGAGTTTTGATTATTTAGTGGAAGCTTCAGAAAGAGATCAAAGAGTACTGTCATCAAGAGGAGGAGGAGGAGGAGGATATGGTGGAACTAGTGATGAAGAGGAAAACGGGTTGGGCAGAAAGAAGCTCCGACTCACTAAACAACAATCTGCTTTTCTTGAAGATAGCTTCAAAGAACACAATACCCTCAACCCTGTAAGTCTCTCTCTCCCTCTCCCTCTCCCTCTCCTTAAGCTCATTTAAGATGATCAGAGACATCTACAATTGAACTGATCATGTAGAACCCATTCACTCTCCTTTCCGGAAAATGGCGAAAGTTGATCAACGTGCGAATACATCTTGAGCTTAGAAAAAACCTACTAAATGCATGTGAACCAGAACTTATGTATGAGGCACCTCTCCTATCTCCCTCAAGTTATTTTAGAACGTATGTGCCTCTAAGATTGCAAAGTGATTGGTTATCCCATTTAGACTTGAGTTTTATTAGATTGGGATTAATTGGGTTGTTAGCTGTTCAACGTTGGATGGATTGAGCGGTTTGACCATGTTTTGAACAGCCCTAGTCATATATAGTCTAGGGTGCTAGAAAGTATGCCTGCTTGAGTTATATCAGAAAATAGGTCAGAGAACCACTAACCTTGCACAATCCGATAAGAAAGAGAGTTAAATGAGAAGTATAAGATCGAAATGATCTCGATTTTGGATGCACATTAAGATGAGATGCACCGGATCAATCCCCGTAACAAACGACAAACGCTGTTTATGTGTGGGTTTGAGATTAAAGGTGATCAAGGTTCAGATCTCTTCATACATTTCTCATCTTAACTCTCATTTTCATAGGTTCCTTATCCTATGCATCTTGAAAGTCAATGTGAACATGGAATTCATAATTTTAATAGCAAGGAATTAATTCCCATGATGAAAAAATGCACTATAATTTTGGTTTTGTTGGAGTATATATTTCCCTTCTATTTATATATATATATTCCTATATGWATTATTGATGTTTTTGCTTAACAAATTATTTTTGCAGAAGCAAAAGCTAGTTTTAGCAAACCAGTTGAATCTTCGTCCTCGACAAGTTGAAGTGTGGTTTCAAAATAGAAGGGCAAGGTAATAATATTAATGGTAATTGGTAATAATAATCGCAATAACCCAAATGGGTTGGTATATTTCAAGATAATGTTGAGGCTATAGGATCATGCAATAACTCAATCGGGTCACTACTAGATGGTGAGTAATTCAAATAAGTGATAAATTACTCAGGTATTCTCTCGGTGATCCTTTGTTATTTTCTTGAAAAACATGGAATTCTACCGAACCATTAATATTTTTAATTAGGGTGATCCGTTGGTAATCAATGACGGAAACCATGTTTATTATTGACACTTATGTTTATGAATTTATCTTGGTAAGAAGAAAAATAAGAGAATGAGATTGAAAGCAATATAAAGTATGATGGAAATGGTGACAGGACAAAGCTGAAGCAGACTGAGGTGGACTGTGAGTATCTAAAGACATGCTGTGAAACACTGACTGAAGAAAACAGGAGATTGCAAAAGGAGCTTCAAGAACTAAGAGCCTTAAAGACTTCCCAGCCTTTTTACATGCAACTCCCTGCCACTACCCTCACCATGTGTCCTTCGTGTGAAAGAGTCGTCACCACCACTCCAGCCACCACCACCACCACCACGCTCCCACAAGAACCTGCTGCCAACAATGGCCGTCCATGACACTAGGAGCAACAGATCAAATATCGTGATGCATGTATGTCATTACATTTCGCAAAGTCTTCTGGTTCATGCATGGGAATTTGGACTAACTAAAGAACATGAAAACAAAAAAAGCAATGCTGTTTTCATCTTTGCATATGCATATAAATGTTTTTGCCTAATCTTGACCATATATGTGTTCGTTCATTGACGTCTTTCCTTTGTCTGTCTAGTTTTGCGGGATGTTTTTGCTTTTGCGATTGGAGGACCATGGTTTGACCAAGAAAATGATATTCAAGAAGAAAAGGTTTCTTGTTTCTTGTGTTTAAAGTTACTTTTTGTTGTCGGCATGGCTGCTCTCACTATATTATTATTTCATTTCACCCTTCATAATTTAGGTTTCTTTTGCAGTTTTTTTCTCTAAGTAAATCTCATATAACCTTCATAAAGATTTGCATACCTTCATTTTATACAAGGGTTTTACATATGATCATCAACCGTGTATGCAGCCATGCATTTGAGTTGGGGGCCAGTTCCCTCTGCCACAATAGCATAGATATGCCCCTGATTCAGTGATTGATAGAGTTGAGGAAGGATGATGCCAGAAGTTAAACATCTTGTAAGAAGCCTAGAAGTCTCAGTATTATATATGATTACACTCTTTTGGATATGTTTAATCATATATGATTAAACATGTATATCTGCGTGTAATCATATATGATACTGAGACTTCTCACCTTCTCGTAAAATGTTTATCTTCTTTAGAGCGCCTCATGGATCCAATATAAGAAAAGCAAACGTTAGAAGATCCGGTTATAATTAATATTGTTCTATTAGTGCTATATCTCCTTTTTAGATCCTCTAGCATTGAGTTCACCATCGAGTAACTTGTCGAATGGACTATCGAGTTGCATACTACATTGTCAATCCGACGCTGTAACTACAAATTAATGATAGTTAGCTTATTGATCTAGTTAGTAGTCACTGATTCTCTCATAGTTAGTAAGCACGTTTATCGGAAGTGAGTTAGAAGTTAGTTTTCCCACTATAAATGTTTATATTTGTCGTTTGGTTTTTTGTACGTTGGCTCAATAAAAGCTTCTTCCTTTCATATGTGGGAGCATACCATCCTTCCAATGGCGACTCTACATGAAACCGGAGAGTATTTATCATATTTTCTTGATTGTTCAATCCAAATTGTTCACACCATCGTAGTTCGTAAAGTTCACGTCTTCAATGCACGACTTGTTAAGAACAAAACCAACAAGCAGTGTTTTGATCTTGGTTTGCCTTTGGAATCTTTCTTCGTAGCTTAACGGAATTTGTCATTTAGGAGTCCTAATCGTATACAAAATTGTATTTAGTATTCATCTAATAACGTATTCTAATATTTATCTAATACTCCCCCTCAAGATGAGCGTGAATGGATGTCATGAAGAGCCATCTTGGACGTTAGTAGAGCAGATTTATGACGAGGAAGAGATTTAGTGAATATGTCTGTCAAGTAAGAGTGAGTTCGAATAGGCATTAGTTTCATGACGTTGCTTGCGACCTTCTCCCAAACTAAATGACATTCGATCTCTATGTATTTGGTCCTCTCGTGAAAAACAGAATTAGCAACTAATTGGATGACGGAGGTGCTATCACCGAACATCAGTGCCGGAGAAGAAACACGAATGCTAAAATCTTGTAATTAATATGTGTTATAACCACACAAGCTCACTGATAAAAAAAAACTTAACTTTGGTTAAGTTTTTAGGATGCATGTATAACTCACTAAGCCACAATGCATGGTGATCAAATTCAATGAGAGCCCACATATTTGTATGGAAGCTCTAACTTACCAACTTGCATGGAAAAGGGGTGCCACCAACCTATGTATCCTGCCACCTACTTTTATCCATATAAAAGTATATCACCTTGTATGAAAATATATATATATATATACATATATATACATATATATACATACATATATATATATACATATATATACATATATATATACATATATATATACATATATATATACATATATATATTATAAGATTTCTCCAATGTTTTGGTTTTCCTCTCATCCAAAACTCTTAATTTTTATATGGTTTTATTTCGAGGAAACTTAGGAGGCTGATTTGTTGATCCAAGGATCTTGTAACGTTGTAATTTATCCCTTTTAGTAATATATTGATCTCTCCTTATGGACGAACACTATCACCTCGATAATGGGACAACGTTAAATCTCATAGTCTCAATTTATGTGCCGTTGTCATGTATTTGTTATAAATTCTATATTTTTACGTTTGTGGATCGGTATGAATGTTAGACTGTAATATACAATATTTAGATCTCGTTAATCCGTATTTGTTGTATCGGGTCAGTTTGCACTATGGTTTATTGTTGTCAATTTGGATCGTAAATTAATTTTGTAATACGATATTGTAACTGCAACCGACTCTACAATTGGTATCAGAGCTTGGTAGATCTAAACTTAAACTTAGATTTTATATTTTGCGTTGCAGACCCGGTGCTTAGTTAAATGTCTGGTGATTCAGGAAATCCGTTTGTCGGTCCTAGTTCCGTCCCAAATCCAAATGTTTATCAGAATGGTGCTTTTAATTAACGGGGTCCGGGATTATAACAGAAAAATGGAATGGGAAGGCGATTTTGGTAAATGATAGTTGACTAGAACAACACTTAGGAAAAACGATGTTCACCCCGTAGTCTTTTCACCGGAAGAAAAAGATCTGAATATGTCAATTTTAGAGGCTAAGGAAATATTGGTTTGGGCTTTCACTAACTTACATATGGCTATAGGTCCAAATGTTATTTCTGAAATCATGTCTGAAAAGATAGTCGCAGGGATTTGGAAAAGACTTGAGAATCTTTATCTCAAGAAAACTTTGACTAACCGATTATTATTGATGAGGTCATGCTTGCTCTTCAAAACGAAGGAAGGTAGAACCATTCAGGCACACATAACTGACTTCCAAGATATCATTATGAAGTTGAAGGCAACAAACTCTATTTCTGCCACAATTAATGAGGCACTCGCTTTGATTTTGTTGTATACACTTCTCGAGAAATATTTCCAGTTCACTAAAAAATTTATTTATGGAAGAGATTCCATTTCTTTGTCTAATGTGAAAGTAGGGATGATTTGATGAACAAAGAATTCAGATGAAAATCGGTAACAGATTGCGGGAAAGCAACCACAATAAGCAAGGTCTATTTGTTGAAAGAGACCAAGACGATCAACAACACAGAGGAAGAAATCGTGGCCGCTCCCAGTATCGTAAACCTGTTTATCACGGTAATCTAAGCAAAGGGCAATGATAATTATTGTCACAAACCAGGTCATTTGGTTAAAGATTGTCCGAGTTTGAAAAACAAAAACAAGAACAAAGCATAATCTTTAGCAGTAGCAACCGAACATGATACATGCTTTTCAGCAACGGTTACATCACCGCAAAGTGACAATCGTATTGCACTATTTTGAGATTGTTTCAATACTTTCGAGGAGTTGAAGGGTAACAATATTTATATGGGGAATAGTACATCATGTGTCACTCAAGGTATTGGTTCTATTAGAATCTAGATGTTTGAAACCAAACTTGGCTGTAAGACCCGTATTGAGAATGGGAGTTTGCTTGTCACTAGATAGGGAATTTCATTCCAATGAAAGGTGAACATGCAGAAAATAATGTTTCATCTAGTAGGTGAGACAGTTAGTTCTGACGCGTGTGTCGCGGATAGTTCAAGAAATTCAGATGCTACTCATTTATGGAATCTCAAATCGGGGCATACTTCATAGAAGAATTTGGAGATTATGTGCAAGCGGAAACTCATTGTAGTTGATACATCTACAAGTCTGGACTTCTGTTCAGAATGTGTTTCGATAAACAAACGTGTGTTTCTTCTAGGGTTAGAAAACACAACATCAAAGGAATCCTCGATTATGTTCGTATAGACGTTTAGGGACCATCTTAAACCACAATCTCTGGATGGAGGTAAAGATTATGTATTGATGATTTCTGCCATAGACTTTGGGTGTATGTGATTAAGTTAAAGTCGGATGTCTTTGAAATATTTAAAATTTGGTTAGCGCTAGTTGATCGAGACTTGTAGAAAGTTAAAAGTGCTAAGATCTAACAATGGTAAGGAATACACTAGTGGTAATTTTAAATATTTGTTCACATAGACGTATCCATCCTCACTATACCATACCCGGTGACCCACAATCAAACGAAGTCGCCGAATGGATGAATAGGACTTTGTTAGATAAATTCAGATGTATGTCAGTTACATCTGGTTTCTCTAAAATGTTTTAGGCTGAAGCACTTCACACTATTGTACGCATTGTGAACCAATTACCATGTTCAGCTATTGGGGGAAAGATTCTGGAAGAAACTTGGAGGGGTAAGGGTATATATGTTTGAAATACATATGTGTACTTGCTTGTCTTATGTATATTCATGTGACAGATCAGGATAAGTTGGATCCTAGAGCCACTAAGGGATTCTTACTCGGCTATACAGATGGAATCAAGGGTTACCGAATCTGGAACCCGGTCACCCGAAAGGTGATTCATTCTCAACATGTTACCTTCGATAAATCGACTATGTTCAAGTCTAATCAGGATCAACAACCCACTTCATAACCGACTTTATCTCTTGTGTTTCTCCTGGACAATGGAGATTAGATAATTATCAGTCCTATTATATCTAACTCATTTTCTAGTGGTTTTACCTTAGGGTCAGAATCTGAAGAAGATGTTAGTCCACTAGATACATCTACTTTTGATCTAGTATTTCGGCTATCTAAAACCCTTGCAAAAAAGCTCAAATGGAAAGTAATGATATTGATTTGGGTACACTAGAACGAGACCCTGGTTTGCGTCAACAAGTTTATGATTATCCTATCAATCAACAAGATACAATTCGACGAGCTTACATGAATCTTAGTCCTCTTCAACCTACACTTTCTATGTTTCCAACGTTTGGACCAGAAACTCATAAACGTAACTTTCAAGCTTCTTGGTTTAAGTTACATCATTGGATTGAATATTCAAAGACTTTGGATGCAACATTTTGTTTCCCTTGTTTTTTATTTAATAAGTCATCTGGGCTCGACAAGCATTTACCATATGCGGGTTTCAAAATTAGGAAAAAAAATGGGTGGGAAAAATGTGGCTTCTTGATGCATATGGGAACCAAATATACATATTTCCACAATGTTGCAGAAAAGGGATGGGATCATTTATTGAATAAGGCGCAATATATGCGAAATGTATTTGAGAAATTCATAACTGAAGAGCATGAGAAAAACAAATTGAGATTGATGGCTTCTATTTATTGCATCCATTGGTGTGCCTTTCAAGCAGTTGTATTTAGAGGCCACAACGAAAAGTCAGATTCCATTAACAGAGGGAATTTTCTTGAAATGTTGGAGGCACTTGGTGAGTTTAGCATCGATCTTAAAGAGTTTTTTTGTCGTGCTCCCAGATATGCATCATATACATCACTCGATTAAAAAGAAAATTTTGAATCTTATATCAGATAAGGTGAGACAAATGATTTTTTAAGAAGGTTTGTTTTCGAAGGTTTTGTTTACTTGTTGATGAAGCACGGGATGAGTCTCATAAAGAGCAAATGTCTCTTGTGTTTGAGATTTGTTAATAAATAGGGCTTCATTATAGAGCGTTTCTTTGGAGTTGTTAATGTACGTGACATTACAACATAAACGCTTAATGACAAAATCTATTCTTTGTTGTCACATTCCAACCTTGATGCCAAGTCTATTCATGGACAAAGGTATGATGGTGCAAGCAATATGCGAGGTCATTTTAAAAGTTTGTAAGCCTTGATTTTTTAAGACTATAAATACGCATATTATGTTCACTATCTTGCTCATCGGTTGCAATTGGCATTAATGGCCGCCTCTCAAGGAGTTGTAGCAATGCGTAAGTTTTTTTACAACGTTGTCTTTTGTTGTCAATGTTGTTAGTGCTTCCTCCAAATGCACCGACCAACTACGAGATGCACAAGTCGAGCAAATTGCATACTTGATTTATTTTGATGAATTGGAGACCGGTAGAGGTCTCAATCAAATTGGTACATTACAACGAGCCGAAGATACTAGATGGAGTTCTCATCTCAGATCAGTTTCTAGCCTAATCAAGATGTTCAGTCCAACTTGTGAGGTTTTGCTCAAAAAAATATGAGGAAGGAATTGGTTCAATCAAAGGAGATGCAGATTCGACATATGAGGCTATAACGACATTTGAGTTCATATTTGTCTTACATCTCGAAAGAAAAATAATGGAGATCACTGGTTTACTTTGTCAAACTTTACAAAGGCAAGATCAAGATATTTTTAACTCATTGAGGTTAGTTGCATCTACCAAAATGTTATTGCAACTAATGAACGATGAAAGTTGGGATGTTTTGCTTTGCCTTGTTTAGTCATTTTGTCAGGCAAATAACATAATGATCATACACTCAAACATCGTTATCAAGTAAATCTTCTTAACTTGTCTTCGCTTCTCGACTTGTTTTCTTGTCAGGTACGTAACATTGATATTCCTGACTTGTCTTCTTCCTACTTTAGCAGAGGGAATCGAGCTCATAATGAGCATAGTGATCATACAGTTAAGCATCATTACCGAGTGGATATCTTATTATGAAGCAATTAACTGTCAATTATTGGAATTAGATCATTGTTTCAGTGATGGTTTCATGGAGATGCTTCGTCTTGCTTCAACTCTAGATCCCAAATATACGTATGAGACTTTTAAAAGTATTGATGTACGACAACTAGTAGAGAAGTTCTATCCTGAAGATTTTAGTGATCATGAGAAAACAATTCTGAAAATGCAACTTCARCATTATGCTATTGATGTCGTTCAACATACAGATTATAAGCAATTGACATCTATTGTAAAATTGTGTCAATGGTTGGTAAAGACTAGAACAGAAACCACTTTTGATCTTATTTATCGACTAATAAGTCTATTACTTACTCTCCCATTTTCTACCGCAACAACCGAGAGATCATTTTCAGCAATGAATATTGTGAAAACAAGAAAACCAATAAAATGGATAATGAGTTTCTAAAATACTCATTGCTTTTGTTTATCGAAAAGGAAGTAGCTGAAAAGATTAGTTTGGAGGAAATTGTGGAAGACTTCAAGGTCTTGAAAAATCGACAGGTTCCACTTTGATTAGCGATGTTTGACATGTTCATTATTTAACATCTAGTTTTAGAGTTTTACTAGGTTACAACTTTAGACAGTGTATTTTTTGTACCTTTAAAAATATATAATATATTAGGTTCAACCCCAACAGTTGAAAAGTTTGTGTTCCGTCCCTTTATCCATTACATTCATAAATTAAATTATCTACTATTTTCATTTTTCCTTTACATCCTTACATTCATATTAAAATTTGTTTAAAATTAATTATATTATGAATTGCTTTATTTAAATTCATAAATTAAATTATCTATTATTTTCATTTTTCCTTTATATCCTTCATTTCTGACTAGGGGTGCTCAAAAACCCGATGAACCCGACCAACCCAACCCGAATTTTTAAAAAAAAAACCCAACCCGAGGTAACCCGATGCATGATCGATAAAAAAATTAGCCAACCCGACCTTATTGGGTTGGAATCGGGTCAGGCCAAAAAAAACCCGACCAACCCGATGAATCTGACCTTAACTTTAGCTTTGAATTATAGATGATAATCATGACATGACTAACCTCAACGTCAAGAACGCGAAAGCATCGGGGTTGGAAACGTCTAAAACCATTGTTGTTGATTGATGTATTATCATTTGGTTTAAACATTTTTATTGTAATACCTAAATATTTGATGAACTTACATATTATCTTGAATGGTCGGTCGTATTTCAAAGGAAAGTTCCTTTATTTTTATGTGATTTTACATTGTTTAAACACAACTCAATCAACCCGATCAACCCGATCAACCCGAACGGGTTGGGTTAGGTTGAACTTTTGTTTGGGTTGGGTTGGGTTGAAAATTTTCAAAYCGCCAACATTGGGTTGGGTTGTTAAAACGGCTCCAAACCGATCAACCCGGGCCGTGAGCACCCCTATTTCTGACCATAAATAAAGTGTTATTTCCCTTTAATAATACGTTTTTTTATGTGTTACAGTATTAGAAAAACATTCTTCATTCTCATTGTTCTATTAAGTTCCTGTAATAAAAAGAAGAGAGTGTTACATTCGTTGTGATAATCCAGTTGTGCTGCAGGGATTATCTGTATTGTATTCTATGAGATAGACCTTCAAGAGTCTCTTACACGGAATAGTGGATGAATTTGTCTTAAGAAAAATGTGCTTGTAATAGTGCTCAATGCTAATTTCCTTAAATCTAATTTCGTATTTATTTTGTTACTGTTAAATCTATTTCATCTTTTGTAGCAAATATATTCCAACAATATGTTTAATCGAAGTTCTTAAACAAACATAGATAACCAAAAAATGTGTATGTTAACCAAACAAATACGCGAGTTGACCAATCATCTTACTTATTAGCCTTTACATCATATTTCGGAAAAAGGTTTCATGGCGATATGCGGCGGCAGTAACAAAAAGCACTGACAATTGACGGCCCAATAACCAGAAAAGCACGGTGGCAGTGGATAACAGTAGAAAAACAAGAAGAGGGAGCGTATTTACAGCGTCGATGCCTCCTCCGCAAAGGATTAAAACGTTTTACCATCTGGGATCGAACACAGATAATTACAATTCTACAAATAAAACCCTAACATTTGCGATTTCCACATCTCAAGCTCTGGTTTGCTTGTCCAGATTACGACCACATGACGTATTCGTAAGGTTTAAGGAGTCGTCTGACGTGCCTCTGTGAATCAAGTGTTCCTTGTAGACTTTTACAGAATTACGGGACCAGACGGCCCACTATCTAACACATTCATTAGAGAAAGCTGAATCTATACCATTTCACAAAATTCTTACGCATTTCTTCATAATCCCTAAAAATAACTATTTTTTGAATAATTTTCACAAAAGATTGGCTATATTATAATGAATTTTCCATATTGCATTGGGATATCAGTGTTTCTAGAATAACATCTTACTTCCTTAAACTCGATTTCTGAGCATATGTCATGAATGGCATGAACTATAAGATACCATAAGCCATTATGGTTGGTGTCTAATTAATTTGACCTTGGACTTCAAAGGTCAAAAATGTCTAAAAGTCCAAGGTTCAAATCCAATGAAGAATAAAAAAATCTCTTTATGACCATGAAGCTTCAAATACAATAACTCCAGACTATCCACAAAACAGGTGATCGTCCTGAAATTAAATCGATTAAGTCGAATATGATTATTGGTTATTTAAAGACGTATGCCTCCTACTTCACATAAATAAACTCATAAAAAAATAAAATTTAGAACTCCAAGAGAGACCACCTCACCACATACTTTCAATGCTGCTTCTTTTAATAAATTAAAGAATAAACTAATAGAATAACATCATACGAACAACTCTTCTTGGATCATTTGTTTATTTCTTTCTATATTCCCCATTTTACATTAAACAAACAGGACGGAACAGGACAAGATCGGCCAAGTGCGATAAAGGAGTGAAAGAATTTGTGCAAAGTTTTAAAGTCTTACTTCGACATGGGCAGTTTAGTAATTTACCAATCATATCTCGTCTTCTCGATTTTTGTTCCACATATTTTGCTGGGTTTTGTCTCACTCACTTCTGTCCTGTCCCGGTCTTACTGCCGCACCAAACATGGAACAACAAGTTTTGTCCTATCCTATCCCGGTCTTACTGTCTTGTGTACCAGACGCTCCACAAGGGAACAAAAAGGGGTAATTCGCATTTAGGAGACGTGTAAATCCGATTCAACTCAACTCTACCGAAAGTATCGAGTCGACTCAACTCGACTTGACTCGAGTCAACTCACACCGTGTTTATTTTCATCTATTTACCTAATGTTTTTGCTGTTGTTTGGCCAAAAGCTCAGCATATAGGATTTCATTCCAAGCATCTGGTACACCAGGAAGACACCAATGGCTACAATCTTGAAAGTGCAATGGTGATCTTCTTTCTTCATCTGTGTAATGCTTCTTCCTGTAGATGGAAGGGTGCCCGTCCTTTCGAAAATCTGTCAATCTCGTGATATTTAGATACGAGACCCGGGTTTTCATCCCTCTTAAAACCTTCTCCAGAACTTTCATCTTGTCTGGATACGGTGTCAAATAGGTCGTGTTCTTTATAGGCTCGACTTCGTTGTCACATTGCCCTCCAGAATTCCACTGCCCTCCTCTGTCAATAAAAAGAAAATCACCAAAACTTTACTTTAATGACGACAAAACGTTCATTACAGATTTCCAGCATTAGTTGATGATAGTTACGGCAATTGGTGGTCGGTTTAACCATATAAGTTAAAAGCGACATGATGATTTCACTTGGTTTTAGCCCATGTTTAGCAACCATAAGCTAGTTTATGTTTTTGAACTTATTGAAAAAGACTCCTTTAGTTAGCCATAAACTATCTTATAAGTCAGTTTTTGAAAAATTAATGTAAACAGAGTTTCCATAAGCTCCAGAGGCTTTTTTTACACTTTCTTTCTAACAGGTTCATGACTCCGACACATCAGAAATCTCTCCTTGATACATCAGATTTCTCTTTTTTACACATCTTATAAACATTCCGCCCTCAATCATGAACCGGTTTTTCCAAGCTGAAGTGGCAATGTACTGGTCCAAGACTCCAAGACCCAGTCATTGAAGATTCCCTAATTATGCCCTTTATATTTTTTCCAATTAATTTTCGAACATGTCCCTTTTTATCATGTTGCATTTTCATGTAGTTTATCGACTACTTTTTATCAAATATGACTGGCTTATCAAATAACTTATGAGCTAACAGCTAATTTATTTGCCAATATCAAGTTTTTCAGCTAACAGCCACCTTATCGGCAAACATCTATCTTATCAGCTAGTTTGCCAAACAGAACCTTAATCTGGATTTACCTGAAATGAGAAGCAGAATAACCACGGAAAAAGACCAAAGTTTTGCTAGGATTAATATTGGCATCAACCCATCTTCCCCATGTTGTTATGGCTTTACGAAACGCCTCTAAAACGTTAAGCTCACTATAGACATGGCTCCCTTCTTGATAATAATCTTTCCTGCAAAATTTTCCTCGCTTTATAAGGAAAACGCCAATAAAGTAAAGAAAAACAATTGCTCCATCAAGGGTACAATATGAGATTACCCTTTGGCGGTTTTCTCATGAGTCCACCAATGCCCTGTGTTGAAGACAACAATATCGGCACTTTTGTATTGATCAGCCGAAGTACCGACCAAATCAAGCCGAAGGGTCTCCTTCTTTGCTCCATTTTTGTCTTTTGTTTCAGATTCTCGAACTATGAATGGAGCCACAAAGAATTCCACTGTACAATTGTAATCCTACCAGTCCAAAAGCAATGAAAACTAAGCAAGTCTTTAAGCAATCCAGCAAATACCATATCCATCAAACAAGATTACAATCACGATTCTAAAGATATAGTATCAAGAAATGTATCAAATTTACCTTGAATATAAACGAATAAGAAGGTTCAGATCTAAAATGGTGCCTGCCTGAGGCTTCATAAACATTTGCTTGATCTTCTACCGAGTTTCGTAGGATACAAATCAATGATTCCCACATATTTCTATTTAGCGAATCGCCCACAAAAACCAATCGTTTTCCTCTCAACAATTGCAACATATGGCTTCCATCCAACCTATATAAGTACAGATAGTTTGATCAAAACATTTATGAATTCAAATTCACTAAGAGGAATCGTCAAAACCTAATGTCATATCAATATTCTAAAATTCAAAGGAATTCCACAAGCAATAACACACACCAATCCAAACACTTTGTTCCACTACAGATACAATCAAGTAATTTTTATGGATCAAAAAAACAGAATCAAAAAACTAGGCCCGATTGAGTACAATTGCAGCAAAATCAATCAGTTACTAACTTGCAAGTTATAATAAATTAAGAACCATGGAGACTAGGATTGACAGAAAATGAAATTGGGGTTTTTAACACGACTTACCTTGGTAAAGTGCAAGCTTTAGGCTTCCATTTAAGCATCTGAAATCCTTTATCAGGCCTACCATTCGTGAAACAATTAAACTGCTCATCAATCAATGAACATGAACCGGGTTTATACAGTGGATAGGATTCATCTCTCACCCAATCCCCATCAAACAAATTACAATTCGATAAGTTCTTCGCCAAATCCGCAATCTCATGTTTCGGTGACCCCCCCGTATTCGTCCCATTATTTCCCCCTCTATTCACTAAAGAAGAAGTGGAATTCACACTTCCTTTACCATTTTCCGAAGTCGATTTTGGCGTCTCCGACCTAGACTTGTCTCCGATTTTCGTGGAATTTTTTAGGGTTTCTGAAGATTGTGTTCGTGTTGTCTGATTTGAAGCAGATTGAGATGGAAGAGATGTGATCGTTGTTTGATTCGCCTTCACAGCTTCAACTTTAGCACCAACACTCTCACTTGGAGTTTGATTACGAGCAACCGGCGGATCATTATTTACTGTCGGTGCTTTATTATTTGCACTTGAAGATCCAGAAACACTAGTATTCCAACTAAATGTATAAATCGTGGAATTCTGAGTTGAATGTGAAGAATTGGAAGGGAAAAAGTAGGAATAAATCGAAGAGAAGTAAGATCCAATAGACCCATCAGAATCAGACGAAGAACTATATGTACCATTGGCTTGAATACCTGTACTACTACTACTACTACTAGAGATCCTAAAGCTTGAACCAGTAAAGATATTAGAAAACCAAGGAGAAGAAGGATTTGAGGAAGGATTAAACGCCAAGAAAACAGTAAATCCAACAAAAACAGCAATAAATACATAAGCGAAAGCCCTAGTTCTCTTAGTTCTAAAAGAAAATAGCTTGGTAAACTTGAAATCCGAGACCACATGACTTCCTCCATTAACAGGCGTATATTTAGCTGATTCCGCCATTGAAGTGTAACAAATTTACAGAAATCAGCTTTAGAGAGAGAAAGAGGAGCCCCGTGAATGGTGTTCTAGAGAGAGAGAAGACGATTGTGGGAAGGACAGTATACCGGTGTAGCTGGTGCTTATTTTATTATTTGATGATTAAATAATATAATCAAAATAATATATAATATATATTTTATAATTTAAAAATACTTTCTGGAAATCGATTTTTTACATTCTTCTTGTTTCATGGTGTCCAGATTGTCATCCTTGCGGAAATTAAGGCTTCGTAATTACATATATTTACAGGAATGCCATTGCCCTTCACATTTGACCATAAATAGGAGAGAACAATTTTAGCTATCATTTAATCCGGTGTCCGAAACGAGTAGGGTAAGGACTAATCTTGTATTTAATTTATTTAAAACTAGTTGTGTATCCGTGTAATGTTGTGGGAACCGTGAATTTTAACGATTTTGAAGTTTCACTAGTTTTATCAGAGAAAATTTAACGATGATATAAGTTACACTTGGTCTTTACATATTAACACAATTTGAATAAATAAGAGTTATGGTTTCCAATTACAGTCAATCGATGAAAAAAATTGTATGATAGTTTAAAATTCAATATATTTAAAATATAACATATTTAAACGACTGCACAAATGTGTTTAATTTACACCAAGAGCAAAGAATCAAGAGATCGAGAGCGAGACCGAAAGTTTTAGAGCAATTGAATGGGAGATGAATGAGAGAACTCTTAGTAACTCATGGTGAATATCAGTTTCAATCTCACTTTGGAAAATGGGGAGAAGGCATAGAGGTATGAGAAGGTAAATGCATGAGTGAAATGTGTCAAAAGTATTTTGCGAACATGAAAAGAAAAAGTAATAATGTGCATTGGTATTTTAATTGTAGATTAAGAGATTTTAAGACTGGATGCATAAATAGTAGTACTTAATGCATTATGAGTTGTTTTTAAAAAAAATTAAGACTTTGTGCATAAATGTATAGTACTTTGTGCATTAAAAATTGTTTTTAAGACTTTTGATAAATCTGGTTTATAAAGTAGTATATATATATATATACATATATATATATATATATATATATTATAATGTGATATTTTAAACAACAGTAAAAATCTAAAGATACCATTTCTGTGTGTAATATTTATTATAGCTACACCAAGGTTGTGCCTTATGGTGTTCAAATGGAAATACTGAACATGGCCCCCAAAACAAAATATGCATGTTTCAGTCTGTTCTTCCGTCTCCTTCTGCTTCTGTTTTTCCTCAATTCTTCAATCTTCTCGTTGTTATTCTAACACTGATTGTTATTGAATATGGGTTTTTAAGAGAAAGTTAATTATAACGAATTGATTGGAGATTTTGTTATGAAGAATGATTTTATTTGAGCGAATATCATGTTATTTTGTCATTTTAAGACATTTTTTTGTCGTAGTAATTTGTAGGACTTCTAATATAATATATTGTATATACTTTTTTATATTTTTATTCATTACTCGTTCAGTATTTGTACAAAGTGTAACATGACCTCCAAAAATATTGGAACAGCCCTGAGCTACACCGTATTGCTTCTCATTTGATTATTCTAATGAACTCTTTTACTTGATGAATATAAAAAAAATTAAATTATCAATTAATATAAATTATACGACATATAACATAAGATTCTAAAAAATATATTAATATTTTAACTTTATATCATTTATATGTGTGTATGTATGTATGTGTGTGTATGTATGTATGTGTATGTGTGTATGTGTGTATGTGTATGTGTGTGTGTGCGCGCGCAAATGGGTAACGGAAAAATACTTTATTGATACCATACCCATTAAAATGTCAGGTAAAGGGGTAATGGATAAGTTGATAAATGGGAAAAAAAATTACTCATACTCTTATCCAACAGGTCGAAACATAACGGGTAACGTATTACCCTTATCCATTGTCAGCCCTATTTAGGTTGGATATAAGGGTTATTTTGTTGTTGGCAGAAAATGATGACTTACATAGTATATGTTCGTAGAAGAGGTTGAATACAGACATAGCAAATTTTTAATTTTTAATTATTTTTTTTTTTAATTCTATATTTTATATTTTGTATAAAACAAAGAAAATTTATTGCGTAAACTAGAAAGGTAAAACTTGAGATCCTAAACAATCTAACTGTGACAAATTTACAAACACTAAAATAGTAGGGGAAGGAAATACTCTTTCAGATCCAAATGATTAAGGAAGTTTTTCATAATCTGATGCCGATTTTTCCTAAGAAACAATCACAAAAAAATTCTTTCAAAATGGATGAGTAGCAATAAATCACAAGGATGACTTTTTATATATATATTAAATGTTACTATCCAACTTTAACGTATGCCTTCATTTGATTCGTTGATTCATACATGTCTAGTACTCTTCATTTCAACCTTTGAGTTTACTGTAGACATTTGTTAACATGTCTCATCTTTCCAAACCCAACCTATCAATTAAACACAAAGACTAGATAAATTGGACTTTTGATTGCAAGATTTACCACCCATTTCAGGGAAATCTAGAGTTCTGTCTTAAACTATTCTCCATGTTCTGCACCCGTAGTTACCATTCTTGGAACCAATCAAGGGGTGAACTAGATCCAAGATTTGAACAAGATGCAAACTTTGTGTGTGTATAATCATCACAAGGAAACTTCAGGAGGAGTTCTTAGCATCGGTTGAAGGAAGAGAGGCATAAAAGAGAAAGAGACGGGATTTGAGATAACGTCAAAAGTAGGCTACGACATTGAAAAGGGTTACTGAGGATGTAACGAAAATGCTAGCCACCAATGCATAAATCAAGGGGGGTGAGGAAATATACTTCAGCCATAAAGATTCTAGCCATGGCTTCTCGTCTGTTTTAACCAAATATCACTTAATATTATTTTTGCCTCTAGCGTGTATCTCAGTTGGCAAAGAGACGTGACGACTTTACCCAAATACGATGCATGCACTGTGTTCGATCCTCCACCTCGTGCTAACCTCACCCACTGAATGAGTCATAAGAATGCCCCCTCATATTGATGTGTTTGGATGCGACTTTCGTATGAAGTCAGTTGAAATTGTCGATAATCAATGTTCTGCCTAAATATCAATTAGTTTTCAATTTGACTTATTTTGACCAAATATATTTACTAATATTAACCAAAATTGATTGAAATCATTGTTCACTGAACATTGGAGAATTATTAAAGTGGTTCATTGAATGATTGGATTTAAATATAGATTATCTTTAAAAGGGATTATTGCTTAAACGGAAAAGGGTATAGTTGTAATTTCATGTAATAGTATGGGCATATTTTGATAGGCCAAGTGGGTGTTGTTCCGGTGGCGACCAAGTGAGTCCAACATACTTCCCGTGTGGACCGTCCTCGTTCGTACTGTCGTTTGACGAAAGGGATTCAGTTTCTCATCAATTCCCACTACCTTTTTGCCCTCCAATTAAAATGTGACGCGTATACCCTTAGCCTTGACAAAAATATTTAATATATTAACTAATGTGGGAATCGTATGTTATCCACTACCATGACTTTGATCACTTTGATTAATGATAAGAAGATTGTCTATTTAATAATATTTAAAAATTTTAATTAATGAAATTTTAGTATATATCTATATTATATTATAAAGTATTTGATAAAAAATTTTAAAAATTATTTTTTATGCATGAAATATTGTATATTGATGTATATTACTTAAAATTAAAGATTACAAGTAAATGATGTATAAGTACAACTTATTAAAACTCTATGTTTGAATTTGTGTAACTAACTGTAGATAAACATAATCAAATGGAGAATAAACATCTTATTTTAAATATAAAAAATCCAAAACATAATTAAGATAATCATTGAGTTCTAACATAATACTTAATTATTATCTTAAATAAATTATTTTATTAGACCAAAAATGAATTAGTTCATTTTTAAACTTCAGTTAAATTATAATAAAAATTTGAATTAAAGAAATTACACAAAACAAAAAAATTTAAATAGTTATTTTGATACTAATATTGCTTATTTTTTTTCAAAATTTTATAATATATTTAAATTTATATTTCATTCAAAAATAAAAACATTTTTTTCTCAAAATCATATAAAGTCGCATTATAACATCGTCATGACCCAAAATATAAAACGAAACAATAAATCAAAATGTATCTCGCTGCATTACGCGAGTACCTTTCTAATATATATATATATATATAGAGAGAGAGAGAGAGAGAGAGAGAGATTTGTTTAAAAATAATGTTATAAAATTAAATAAAATGAGTAATAATAACTACCTGGGGTGTCGATAATTTATACATTGTTTGTCTGATTGATGATGAATTTTTTTTTAAGAAAAAGATGATCTTTCTGCCGATTTTTATTAAGAAATAAATAAGTATACATCTAAATCGCACCATAACTAATTATATGTACAAAAAATGTCGTACATAGTGGTTTTTCCTTTAATATATTTTGGTCCTATAAATTAAGTCCTATAAAACGGTCTATTGGGACGCTTAGAGATTGAGAATGTCCTATAAACTCAATTTTGTTGTAGTGTGAGTTTTAAATTATATATATCAATAAACAATATTTCATATATAAAAAATAGTTTTTAAGAGTTTTTATTAAGTGATTATAGTATAGTTTACGTAAGAGTTATGGTTCTAATTGTAACCGATTGATGAAAATTTGGAACCATATTTAGGGGGTGTTTGGGATTGCTTATAAAAACAACTTATTGACTTGTTCCGGCGTGACATCGGTAATAAGCACTTTTGAGTGTTTCAATAAACAACTTATACCGGTGCAAAACCTGTAATAAAGAATTTTTGAGAAAGTTAAATTTTTCTGACTTGTAATAAGTTATTAAGTGTTTTTATAGAAAAATATAAGTTGTTTCAAATAAGCAATCCCAAACACCCCTTTAAAATCCAATATATTTAAACCAATCCAATCTAATTTAATTACTGCTGAAGTATAAAAAACAGAACTTAGATTTTGCAATATTTGTATTTTATATCTTGGTGT